AACAATCTAGGTACAACTAATTCACTTCATATTTACAGTCCACTGACACCTGCAGAGACCTCACAGTTAAAGGTGTGATTAACTTCAAAGCCTGCAAAGCAAAAACATCAAAGACATGGCTCAATTACATGAGGACACATCTGCATTATTGTGGTGCTTTTAATTTAATTTAACATGCCCCAAAACCCAGACTCACCTTTAATTCTAAATTAGAGATCTACTTATCTTATCTGGTAACTGTGCGAGAGTTGCGTGGGTGAAAACTCAGACAAAAAAGAAAGATATTCACCCTAAGAGATAGAGAATAATGCTAATAGTACAAGATTATATCAGGTCCAAAAATACCTCGGCGCTTGTATAACTTGGAGTACAGGCTGAGCTTTTCTAGTCTCACAGGTTATTCATATGCAGAACAAAAACTGGTGAATATCAACGAGAGCACGACTTGGGTCTGGAAACAAGAAGAACCTCATGATCTTGTTTCAAGGGCCGTAATCAGATAATAGCTGTTGATGACTGGAAATCGGAGGTATTTACAATAACAGATGTTTGCAATTAGGAACCCTTTTACTGTCAATGAATACCATAAAAGGATATTTTTTTGCATGAATTCAGGACAAGTTTTAGAGGATGTAAAAGGACGACTAAAAGAGAAGGAAAATATAAAATCAGTGACAACAGGGGAGCTTTTCATTAGTTTGGCACCACTAAATCACCAAGAAATTTCCCATGATATCAGTGTAATACTGACACATCTGATTCATAATCTACTGAGATTCAGTCAGACTCTTACTTTCTGGAGGAAGAGGACGATTCTCTGAACCATTTCAGCTCGCTGCTCCTCCAGGCTGAAGAGCGTCCGCGGCGTGCGGATGAAGACCTTTGTTTTGCCGTAGGCCACGTCGTGGTCGAACCCACAGCCCTGCAAGAGCCTCTTGACTGCATCTTTGTCTGATGGCAAGTCGTGGTTTGGCCAGGTAAACTCGGAGATCATCTTATATCTGGAGGAAGGACAAAGTGTTTGCATGAAGAAATGTGCACCGTGTAACCGTGAGGAATTAAATAGGATCTGGATAATTCTATATATATATTTCACTTTGCTGAGGACTTGTTTTTGTTTTTAGAACAAACACCAGCAACTAATGAATCTCCCATCAGCCCCAGCTGTACATTGCATTTGTTTACGATGCCAATATGTCAAATCAAGATGGTACTTTATACCTGCTAAACATCAACATATTAGCAATGCTATAGTTAAAGTCAGAGAACATCTGGATATATTTTCAACATCAGATTACATAGCAAGTCCTGGGTTCAAAAACAAACCGTTAAACTCCTTCTAATCTTCTCTATACTTCTCCATCGACACTCTCAAAGCAAACATCGCATCCTCATCTTCTGTTACTTCCTATTTAATTGCAGACTTTAGGGGTGGTTGCTGGAGTTTAGGAGGCCATCACTGCTGCCAGATCAAATCAACAGTTTTCCAAACTTTGCCACGTAACAGCTGCGATCTGAGTCATTCCACAGCTGATCCACTGGTAAGGCTGTGATATAATGCCATCACTGAGGAGGACTGGAGTAATGGAGTTGGATGCCTTGTTAGCATGTTATGCAAAAGTCTCATTATTTAATCCTCAATCCAGCAGGATTTCTAGGAGGGCAGTGGGTGAATGTGACAGCTGGGGAATAAGGGTGAGGCACAAGTATGTGTACTAGTTTGGAGTGTCAGTTAATACACTGTACACTGTGTACGTATGGAATTGATCGCATTATGTTCCATTAGAACAAAACAATCTTACAATTATTATATCTTCTATCAGCAGTGATCAGTTCCCAATAAGTGATATTTGACTTGTATTTTTAATTAAAAAAAGAACGTGAAGCTTAAAATGTAAGAGGACGAGTGCTATCGGAGGACTCTAAGAATCCACATCTGTCCTGTACTAGTCTTTAAAGTTTAACCCTGATCTTTTGTTCTGCTTTGGCCTCATTACATTTCTGTAACGAGGCCAAAGCAGAACATTCTTATGAACACTGCTGCGTGCAAGACTTTAAACTGTCGAGATTATGGATCTCTTTGATTGCAGATTTGTATTATTAATTTAGCATCCAGTGAAATGTTAATATGCCCATTGTTAATATGTTGATAAGTTCTAAGACCCCAAGTAATGTCTGTGGATATCTCTTTTGTGTTGAAACACCAACAGATTAAAAGAACAGGACACATGAAAAGCCAGAATCAGCTGGTTTTGCAGCCTATTGTCAAAAACATGCTACATTTCACAAATTTAGCAGATGTGTTGGTCAACGGGTGAAAGAAATGCACCATACATCACTACTTGCAGTACATGCATACGTCATACTGTTGTATACAGCCTATACTACCCGCCTGTCACAGGATAGTTAACAGTAGCGCAGAGTCAACAGAACAAACAAGAACTAAACGAGCTCTTGTGAGTTACCCAAGTCCCACTGGGGGCATCGCGATGGACTGCACCAACAAAACAATGCACTGAAGCACCGTGACAAAGGCGGCAGGAAGTCAGACACAGGTAATGCACAGAGAATCCAATTACATTTAAAAATAAAGACCCCTGCCTTGCAGACTAAATGGTGTCCCTCTGAAACTCCCCAGGTGTCTGTGTCATGTTAAAATAACCACAGAGAACAAAATATACTTGAAGGATAAAAAGTAAAGGCATGCAGGATCCTTAATGTACTGTTATTGGATGATTATTATTAGTGGAAGCAGCAAGTTTATGTCAGAATCAGCTACGGTGATTTTCTATTCTGCCTTACATGTAGCGGTTGCTAATAAGTTTCTTAAAGCTCTGTTTGAATCCACTAAAGTCTTTAAATTCAATCTTTTAACTAAAACTTGCAATATTAATTATTTTATTATTTATAATAGTTATGGTAACATTATGGTTTTTTTTTCTTGCTAATAACTTTTGTTTCATGTTTCATGATCAAAAAAGTGTTTTAATGAACGATTTTCAACTTGGTCAAGTATGTTAGATTTCTTGACTAAACTCCTGTATTGATTTAAGCCTCAGAGGCCAGTTATTGCACCTCCAGTTGCAGGCAATTTAGAACTAATTAGAATATAAACAGGTTTGCAACATGTCGAAGCTTTTGCCTATGAATAAACCATGAGTTTTTAACACAGGTCACTGACTAGTACTTGCTGTTTGTTTGTTATTGCGCCACATTAAAACTGGGTAATTCTTCAACAAATTAAGATGCCCTATCAGCATCCCTCTTCAGTAATTATAATCAAATGTGGGTGTTTTAGAATTGCTTTTAATCAAAAGGACAAAACATTACGCTAAATTACTGTTTAAAAAAGAAGACACTGAAGGGATTATTTTAGAGTAGCTGCAAGAGATGCAGCTGATTAGTTGATTGGATGCTGATTAGGTTACACAACACAATATTTACACCCCACAGTCAAGACTTTTTGTGCAATATCCTTGATGCCTGACCGATGCACAGCTTCAAGGGTTCAATAACATTTTAATAATAGTGTTTCAGGTGAGGGAAGCTCAGTCTCTTATTGCACAAACATTTTAAAGCTAATCTGAGAAGAAAATGTTTTTAAAAAAAATGAATCGTGCATCACAAACCTTCAATCTACCATACTTTCATCTAGCATGAAAAATACATCAAACTATGATTCATAATTGTGGTAATTTTTCTCAATGGTCTTGCTTAATTGACTGAACCAAATTAATTTACTGCTCACTGAGGAAAAAAAACTTCAAGGTGCAATTAGATCAGGACCACTTGATCTTTAATGAAATGATCCGGTCTGTTGTTGTTCTAATGCTTTGTTGACATGTGCTGCTGTTAGAAAGCAAGATTTGCTGCATTCACACTCAGCCCCTTGGGGACTAAAAGAATTAGGAATCCAACCAGTTTTAGATTTGTAAAAAAATAAATATGTGGAGCTACCCACTGTGGCGACCCCTTGTGAATAAATGAGTAATTGAAAGTAGGTTATTTTTCTTCTACTTGGACAATACTCATGCTTCAAAGGCCTAAAATTTATATTCATGTGTGTGTTTATTTTGAAATATTGTATTAAATTTGTCACATTTGATTGTTTTCTTATGGATGTTGTGTAAATGTGCGACACACACATGGAAATACTGTGATGGTTTTGATTCCTTCTTATGCATACAAGTTGTAAACCATCTGGGATGCAGTGTTGGTAAGGTTAAGTGTTTCCCAGCACTGAATATTTGATGTCCCGTGGACATGGTCAGGACGGATGATTGAGGGGTGCTCTCCCTCTCCAACCGCCTGCGATATTGCAAAGAGTCAACCATCTGCATGTAGGACTGCATGCTCAAACTGACCCCAGCATTTTGGCTATGTGAAAAAATTTCTGTATGTGTTTATGAGGACATTTAGGGCAAAGAAATAGGCTCCAAATTCATGCAGCTGCTCATTTTACACCAACAACTGTCACTTTAAAGAAGACTGTGGAGTCTTAAAAGTAGCCTCGGCCTCAGCTTTCAAAGGGGGTGTGGAAATGACAGTCTGTAAATACGTAACATCATGTTTACTCTGCCATGATAATACCCCAGGACACTCTCACGAAAGAGTCTAAATCTTAAGAGTTTGACTTCTGGGTGAATATTCATATGTGTGGGTGACACAGATTTAAATGACTATTTTGTAGCTCATATTCAGGTAAATCTGATGCAAAGTATTTAATACTTTTACAAGCCAGAAATGTCAAAATATTGGCAAATTCAACTTCTCACATGCAAGAAATTGCTGCTTTTTTCCACACAGTTTGTGATGGGCTAGTGTGATAGATAGGTGCCATTTTTTACTGTTTTCTAACATTTTATAGGCAAAAAGATGAATCAAAAACATAAATAAAGGATCAATCGACATAGGTGGTTTCAGCCCTTTAAAGTGTCCATATATAATTCACTCAAACATCTTTAATCATAGGGCACAGGTGCTTTGAAAGACTGTGTTTTGGCACACCTTTGTAGGAAGCGAGGGTACGTCTGTCTGTTGGCGAATCCAGCGCGACGCACTCTGACGTTCTCCAGCAGCCCGAGGTATTCCACCTGATGACGGCAGCGCTCGTGCTCAAAGAGCAGAGGGGACTTGACATCGTTGGGCTTGATGCAGCGAACGTAGTAGGGTTCCTGTACAGAGCAACACAAGGTGGATTTACACACCAGCCAATGTTTTCTACTGTAGTTCAAACTGCAGTGGTGATATACAGTAACTATATGCTCTTCTGTAACAGGCGTGTATTCGCACGGACACCAGGAAAAGCAAATAAAGGGGGGCTGGGAAGTTGGTCTCGCACATTAAGGCTTCACCTCATGAATGCTGTTAGATAATATTCAGATTTTTCAGGTATTTGCATGTGGGGAATAAAACGAATGCCCGTAACATTCAGACTGTCTTTTATGTCATCTTTTGCATAACTTTCAGATACACAACTGACAAACAAAACACAGTTTTGCGCAATGATTTCTTCCAAATCATCAGGAAGATAACAGGAAGTAGTTTGGGCAAGTAGTTCTTATTAATATTTAGCATCTCTGATGAAGATGATTCCTTTAATACAATCTTTATTTGCCCCTAAACATGAACATTTTCTTTAAGTCTGATCATTTACTTCATGCACTTGAGAGTAATATGTAAAGTAAGGTTGAACAGTTTAAAAAATAAAACTAGCAGTATTGCATATCAGCAAGCGTACAGAGGTCGTGTCATTTAACAGGATTTGTAGTCAGAATCGTTCTCTTCACTTTAATTCCTTCTTAGAAACACGTATAGGGTTATAATCCACTGGCTCAATATGAATATTATCTGATGCAGCACTTATGAAAGGTTCACCTTGGAGGCGAGGTTCTCCACCAATGAGATCATTGAATTTTTGAAGAGTGTTGCAGCCGTCAGCGGTCGCTTCGTGACCTCTGTGATCCTCAGTTTGCCCTCGGGCCACATGGCCTTAAGTACTGGGTTGGAACTGGACAGAGAAAAAGTAAAGAGAAAAGATCAACATTTACAAGACTACTGAGCAAAAAGAGAAGCAGCAGAATTTAATATCCGTCCATGTTAAATGTGACATATGTGTAACATTTCAACAAGATTTTCGAATCAAATCCAAACATGACATTTAATGAGACCTATTATGGTCAAGACTGCACACTGCATCACTGGATGCTTGTGCATCCCTGTCCATATGCATGATAAATAAAACTAGTTCTAGTTTGACTGATATAACACAATTATAGAAGACTGAGTTGTCCCTGAGTTGTCGTAATAGGACACAACCATCTATGGTCACAGTGAAGTAAAATGTTGACCTTCTAGGGGGAAAAAGGGACATCACATCATCATCTTCTCTAATTTGTGTGAATTTATGTCATAATTAGCATCTGAATTCTTGGGTCATGGCTAAAAACATCTTTTTGTGTTCAGCCTTCTGGATGACCTTAACCTCCGATTACTTAAATCCAATCAATTCACCCTTGAATCCAAGAGCTGCTGTTTCTGTTTAGGAAATATCACATTCAAGTGAAGTACAGACGGACAGCATGAAATTATAATGCCTCCAGCAATGCTTGGCCCCAGCCTGGATGCATATTGGGGGCATTCTCATAAGGATAACAGCTCCATATGGCTACAACACTTAGCACATACTCTTCCAGCCAAAATTAACTGATCTGCTTTCAAAAATGTCATGATTCTGATTTATGCCATTAGACAGGTAAGCAATTAGTTGATCACATTTATATTCAGCACAACAGAAGCTGAAGAGGACTGGTGAAGAAGAGGAGGAGGAGGATAAGAGCAAGCTGGGAGAGGATTCATTGTACTAGTCCTTCTTTTCAGAGAGCTGTCATGTAATCAGCGTGCCAGAAAGTGAAAGAGACACTTTGAAGAGTGTGTGTGGAGGTGATGGAAAATTGAAGCAGTGTGTATTACTGTGTGTTGTGTTACCTGTTGTACAGCAGTCTCTTGAAATCCTGGAACAGAGTGTCTTTGTTCTTATCAATAAAACCCACCACTGAGTACCTGCAGAAATACAGACAGAGGTAAATGCATGTGTGGACACAGTCTACACACTGCTCTTCTCCAAAGAGGCTGTAAAACATATCCCCCAGGACTCACAACGCAGGTGCCAACAACAAAAACAAGCCACAAATGCATAGGTGAATTTTTATTTCTGCATTTTTAAATCCTTGCAGATCTTCCACACACACATTTCACAGACCTTTGCTTCAGTTAATACAGCAAATTCCAGTCAGTGCAACTGAGTGGCATCAACACATTTGGTAAAACAACACTACAGCCGGGTCGAGGTAGAGAGTAGCAGTATTTTGGTCTCGACCAGGCCTCCATTCATCGTCTTCAGATGGTCCAAAATGCAGCTGCTCGCCTGCTAACTGGTACCAAATAGAGAGAGCATATAACCCCAGTTTTAGCTTCTCTACACTGGCTTCCTCTCTCCTACAGGATCCAATTTAAAATTTTACTTTTTGTTTTTAAGCCACTTAACGCCTGAGCCACTTCTTACCCGTCTGAGCTCCCTTCTGTTTATGCTCCAAGAAAAACCAAGAGGTCTAGCTCAAAATTAATGCTGTCCATCACACAGACTTATCTCAAATCTCGTGGTGATAGAGCCTTCTCTGTGGCGGTGCCAGACTTTGGAATAGTCTTCCCCTAAATATTAGATCTGCACAAACACTCGATCAATTTAAATCACTACTAAAGACACATTTTTAACACACTATGACCCAAACATTTGTCTTATTTAATAGTCTTAGTTACTGTTTTAATTCTTTTATTGTCCTATCATTGTTTTATATTGTTACTATTGTTTTACATTGTTTCTTTTTAATGGCATTTTTATATTGTTAAGCACTTTGTGCAGCATCGTCTGTCTTGAACTTTGCTATATAAATAAATTTGACTTGAGAAGACTGACAGACTGATTGTATGGCATCAGCAGTGATGTGGACACTGTAGTCCTCTGTTGTGCTGAAAAGAGAGCTGACTGCGAAAGCAAAGCTGTCGATTTACCCGTCATTGTACACTTCTACCTATGGCCGGGAGCTCTGAGAACTGATATTACTGATGTTCCACCACATTGACAGGATCCAGGTGGTGTGGTTCAGGTATCTGACTACGATGCTTCTTGGTTGCTTTCTGGACGAGGGGTCCTGGGTAAAACTCCAGGCCTCGAGGGCCGGTGTCCCTGCAGGTTTTAGATGTGTCCTTGAACCAACACAGCTGATTTAAATGGCTAAATTAGCTCCTCAACATGTCCTGAAGTTCTCCAGAGGCCTGGTGACAAACTAATCATGTGATTCAAGTGTGTTGACCCAAGGTGAGATCTAAAACCTGCAGGACACCGGCCCTCGAAGCCTGGAATTGCCCACCCCTGACCAAGAGTAACCCATGAAATGATGGAGACACTGGTTCGAGAACACCTCAGGGTCCTCCTGGATAAGCTGGAAGAGGTGGCTAAGAAGAGGGAGGGGCTTATGCGCCTGGACTGTTACCCCCATGAGCCAACCCAGATAAGGATGGATGGATGGATGGATCTGTGAATGTCTGATTTAGACAGCATCAGTTAAACAGGGAGACCACAATGTGGCCTCCTGCACCTTAGTGCAGGAGGAATGTGGCCTCCTGCACCTTAGACAGCTGCAGTCTAAGGTGTGGAAGAGCAGCTTTAACATCAGGTGCAGGGAGTGAATGTCACGTGAATTTCAACTTCAGCATCAGGTGAGGGCAAGTGGGAGCACACCCTGAAGCACAAGTGGAAGGTAAGCTTGTTCTTTTCACCCCAGCAGGACGGTAGTGGGGTGTTAATCTGAGAAGAGTGAGCAGGTGGGCTTTTATACACTAATCGTCAATAATAACGGACACTGTAGGATCAGCACACTGACAGCAGCTGAGACACTTTACCTAATCCAGTTATCCCAGTAATCTCTGTCCAGTGTTTTAAAGTGATCGGTTAAATTTATTTGTTGTTTTTCAAATGATAATAATTTTCTTGTGAAAACTGCGAAGCTAATATTCAGATCCACTTGGTTTCATGCTATTTATTTTTTAGTTAATCAACAAGAAAATAAATGAACCTTTTTTATAATCATTTTAAAAGCTTGTGGGAAGACACACCAACAGGTAGCTATTAGTGGTGACAGCACTGAGGTTGTAAATGAATACAAATATTTAGAGACAGCGATCAAGGAAAATCTGTCATAGGATTCAAACATAAGTGCCATTTACAAGAAAGGATTACAGCAATTGTATCTCATGTGAAAGCTGCAACAGTTTGATTCAACTTGTATTTATATAGCACTAAAACCCAACAACATTTGCCACAAGGCACGTTATAGTCTAATGTAGTAATAGAAAACTCCAACAATCAGACGACTTTGAGCAGGCTCTTGGCAACAGTGGGAAGGAAAAACTCCCTTTTAAGAGAAAGAAACATCCGGCAATATCAGGCTCAGGGAGGGGGAGCCGAGAGCCGTGACTGGTTGGTGGTGAGGGGAGGAAGACAGGACAAAGACACGCTGTGGACGAGAGCCAAAGATAAATGCATAAAGACATCACATGTCTTTGATAGATACACACTGGCTCTTTTCTTCTATTCACATGTGGAATGTACTCGCCTTCTGTTTTGCTTTATTGCCTGGAATTTTTACTGTCTGTAGTTAATAAGAGCAAATTCAATAAAATTGCACGTCAGCAACAACGCAGTTTGCCATAATCTTAACTGGTGGGAACGGGCAAAGGTTCAAGGTACCACAATTTCTCATGCTCAGATCTTTTATACCTTGTATCACTCTGTCAAACAAATCAGGTGATATCACGTATGTGTACATAGTTACGCCTTGGTTTTTCGAAATATTATTTTTATTCTTAATGTCTGTAGGATCTTCTTTGGTTGTATTTATCTCACATAAAAAGGTACAAATGGAACTTCTGAAAAGACAAA